GTTATTTCAGGAATGTTTCATATACAACAGGGTATGTGGGTGTATGTGTGTGGTTGGGGTGGGTAGGATGGGGGTGTGGCAATAGTTTGGAGTGTGGTTGGCTATGTGAGGGGTAGAGGGGTGTGAGTACGGTGGTGTTGGGGTGTGGTGTGTGTGGGAGAGTGTTGGGTGTGTGTATGAGTATGGTGGGGGGTGGAGTGTATGGGGTCAGTCTGGATGTGTATGTGGGATGCGTGCTTGGGGTATGGGTGGGTTGGGTGGGGGGGATGGGGGCTTCTTCCCCAGCCCAGTCTTTGTGGCATGGCTGAGCCTAGCCCCTCCACTCATCAGGTGTGGGGGAGATCAGCACTGCCTGCCTTGCTCACAGCATGCTGCAGAGGGGCAGGGAAGCAACTGCTGTTGCTGGTGGACAGCAAGGGAAACCCCGGGGGAAGGAGCTGAGTCTGGCACCACCAACCGTCTTGGCCTCTGTCCCATGCCTTCCCGGAAGGGCTGCAACCAAGTCACACTGACTCTTGCTGTTGCTCCCACCCCACCTGCCCAGCACATCAGCAACAGCCCTGCCTGGAAGCTGTGCCCGCTGGCCAGGGCTGGGGCCCACCAGCAGGGGAGTCTGGGAGCACAGCACATGCTGCCCCAGGCAGGAGTGGATGGGACTCAGCCCCATGTAGGGCACAGCAGGGGCAGCTGCTGGCTGGCCCAGATGCAGTTAATTGGGGGAGGGGGGTGCCCATCTGCTGGCCAGATCCAATCAGCTGACGGGCCAGATTTGGCCCACAGGTTATATTTTGCCCACCCCTGGGTTATGGACCTGTTGTAGCAATGCTTGTTTATTTCCAGTTTATAACAGTTATAAATAAGACTAACCTGTAGTTATTTGATCCATGCTTTCTCAAATTTGGGAGTATATATATGCACTTGACTCTCTATTAATATTGGCAGATAACTTGCTTTTTCACTGAAGAAGAAACAACTTTTAATTTTACAGAGAGGTAGTTTTAAAGGAAGGGTCTGCTTAAACTATGCTCTGTTTACATACAGGGTAAACCTACTGAGGCTTCATTAGAAGCCAGAATCCATGAGTATGGAGAACTGGATGCCAAAGATTATATTCCAGGAGCAGAAATATTAGAGGGTGAGAAAGAAGAGGAAGGAGGAAGGGAAGAAGAAGGTTGGTTGGTTGTGTGTATTTCTGTGCTCTACCGCATTGCCACTAAAATTCAAATACTATATAAAAAATCTTGTAACCTCTTTCTTAAAATTGTCATGGTGAAGTCTTGAATAACCCAGGCCTTACCTGTATCTGTTCAGTGAAGCAGCAGTGTTAATGCCCTCTTTCTGGTTGACATTAGCTCTGTGCTGCTTTGACTGTAAGAAATAAGAGGGTCACCTTCAAGGCTTCTCCTTAAAGATTCATCTTTAAAGCAAAATATATCATATGTCTTCAAAACTGCATGCTCTCCCCAAGGGAAACATCTGTTTGGTTGTTAACTTTGAATAAGCAGGGGTATTGTAAATTGGGGTTAATGCGTCTGGGAAAAGCTGGGTACATTGAAAGTATGTGTGGCTTCTGCCAGTTTCTGTATGCAACAGGGGAAGGAAACAAGCATTACTATCAAAGCATATTGGAAAAGCAAAATGTCAATACCCAGGTAAAAATTAGTTTGTGTCCTATTTCTTTACTTTTCTGCAATACTTTGTATGTCTATCAGTCTCTTCAATTACAATTAAGTAAAATACCACTCAGATTGTTGAAAATATGTGATTCTTTCATGTAATGTGTGTTGCTTTGATATTCAAGTAAACTAATTGGAGGTTGGACACAGTAAAGGAAATAGATAGATACATATGTATAAGGTGCCCTGCACAGTAGAATAATTACTTGACTTGATAGTTTCAGATTACTACAAGCCATTACCACTGCTCTGTGTGCTTGTGTGTGCGCACGCACATGCATGCGTGCACAAATGCAGAAATCTTACTGCTACGGAGATGCAAACAATTTTGAGCAGGGCAGGGATTTTGTAGGGTATCTAAAACATTATGGATATTGCTTAAAAATATACAGCTTTAAATAGTAATCAGATTTCTATAGTAAGTTGGCAAACAATGCTTGCCTGATATTTGAATAATTTCACAAACGATTCAAATGGAAATCAAACGGAAGTAATTTAAAACTGCTTCTTTGGCAACAGTGCATATTTGCAAGAAGAGATGTCATGGATGGAAGCAAGAGTTTGTGTTCCAGTCCTAACTTTTTCAGTTATCTAGAGGTTACATTATTGAATATAATTTTAGTTAGTGGTTCTGTGCCTTTTTCCTTCTGCAGATGGATGGGAAAGTGCCAGCACAAGTGAGGAAGATGATGAAGATGAAGAATGGATTGATGTGCACCATTCCTCAGATGAAGAGCAGCAAGTAGTGAGTTGGGTTTTTTTTCTTTTTAATCACTTCAA